TTAGGGAAGGTACTAGCACCCTAAACTTCTGTAGTACTCTACAGGAACCTTTTGTTTAAAGTTTACTATTTTCTTTATTATTTGCTTGAGGATATATACTGAGCTAAGGGTTAAGAGTGACTGAAAGACCTAAGGGTTAGTCCTAAGTTTACTCGGCAAGATTCGTATCTTGTGCCTACGTATCCCGGGTAGGGAATGGAATCAAAGTAATCGTAGTTCCCCTTGAAAGGGACGTTAGAAACATCTTGATTGTGGTCAAAGTTTCACGAGGAATAAGCGTTCTTAAGGAAGCGCTTACGTGGAGTGCGGTGACTCCTATTTCTACATTGAAATAGTTAATTTGAAATTAGGGTTAAACAAAACATTCCACAACGGGAAACCCTAAAACGGAGTGCGGCGAATCCTTGACCTAATGCTATGGTAAAGGGTATCTGAGTCCACGGTGGGACACCTAGGCAATTAGGGTTTTGAATGTATCAAAGGAGAGGACTATTGACTCGGCGGTCAAACTGTTAGACCTAATCCTTCATAGGGGTTAACGATAAATAATGCAAATGAAAAATCACTACAACGACGATAATTAAAATACGGGGAAGTAATGAAAGCATTTAAATAATAAAAGGTGCAAAGCGACGATTACTCGCATAAATTATAAAACCCAAAAAACAAGAATAAGACAGCGACGAATGCCTCGCATAATTACAACCAAAAATACGAAATAAAATCAACAATGCCTTATCATGATTTACAATCGTGAAAAATAAATACGGAAAAATAAAAGGGTGAATAACTGCACCAAGGAGAAAGCAACGAAAAGAACGACAGTAATATTAGACGAGAATAAACGAAGACACTTCTGTCATTAGGTGACAGCTTACTTCGATCCTGAAGTTGAAAATACTCGACAAACTTTTAGGAAGAGATAAAAGAGAAAAAGTTTAAGATTAATGGAGGAATTTACAAGAAAAAGAATTTGAACTTTATTAACAAAAGTCTTATATTTAGGAAAAAAAGGTTTTAAAATTCAAAGAAAGTTTCGATTTAAAAATTAAAATAAGTCTTAATTTAAAAAAAAGGTTTAATCCTAATTACTAAAAGGGTTTTGATCTTACTTTTAAAAAAATTTAATCTTAAATTACCAAAAAGAGGTTAATTTTAATAAGAAATGTTTGATGTTTTAATTTTTGAGATGTTTAAGTTTTTTCAAAGAAAGATTTTGAATTAAAAAAAGTGGTTTTAAAATAGGTTTTAATTAAAAGTCTTCAATTTTCTAATCATGCCTTAATTAAAAGTTTTAATTTCTTAATTAAAATTTGATTAAAGAGTGATATTTTAATACATCATAAAATAATAATAAAAAAAGAAAAAAAAACAAATGATAAAAAGCTGTAAAAAGGGGAAGGGGCGGACGACTTGGGTTGAAACAACTTTTAGGGTTTTTTTTCAAACCCCCCTTCTCCTTCGAACCAAGCGGCGGTGGAAGCCATTATTGCTTCGGTGTTGAGCTTTTCCTTTTCAACTTTCGCTTGCATGTGGCTTCGCGATGCTTCTCCTTCCACTTCTGTTACTTCTTCTGCTTTCTCTGAAATAAACATAAGAGAAAAAGTTAAACAATTCATCTTTACCTCAAAAAACAGTGGCAAATTGCTTGTGTTTGCTCTTGGACTTGCGGAAGTGGTTCGCGGGCGGACTTGGTGGCAATGAAGAGACTTCTGTCTCCGAGCCCGCTGGGTTTCCACGATTTGGTTGAGTTAGCGCTTTGGATGGTTTCCGGCCAGTGATGTTTTTCGACTGAGGCTTTGCGGTTGCGCGATGAAGGTTGGCCACGATACTTTGAACGAAGTGTCGTTGGGATCTTCCTCCGTCCGGAGCCGACGGTGTGAAGTTCTGGCTTTTCTTTCACGTCTTGATGGTGATGCGTTTCGATCCCTTTCTTCTGGGTTCGCGATTTCCCTTTATAGTTCTTCTATTTTCTTTCATGGGCTTGGATCTTACAATCTTGTTGCGAAAATGATGCCTTGATTATGTTGATTTTTAGGATTTTGTGGCTATTGGTTGCGAAAATTTCTCACGGTTTTGTTGAGTTTGATTGTTGCGATACGGTTGCTTTTTTCGGAAACGTTGTGTTTCGCTTGGCATTTTTCAGGGATGACGATTTGTTGTTGTGGCGTTTTGTTCTTGCTGCGTTTTTTCAGGATGAGTTTGTTTTGGTTGTTGAATGCAGCTTTCCAAGGAAACTGCTTGTTGCGCAACTCGCGACTTACGTTGCCTTGTTTTTGCGTTTTTCCAAAAGTGCTTGTTTGATCCGTTGGGATTGGACTTTTCTGGAAATTGCTGTTAAGGCCGTGTTTGGCAAAACTCATTTTTCCAGAAAAAGTGTTTTTCTCAAAAGCGCTTTTTAAAAAATCACTTTTCCGGAAAATCACTTTTTCCTCTCTCTCTCTCTCTCTCTCTCTCTCTCTCTCTCTCTCTCTCTCTCTCTCTCTCTCTTAGAATAGATGTTGCCTGATTTACTGAGGTCGAGAAAATGAGTTGGGAGTTGGATCCGACTTCGTCGTTGCCCTCCCGACGTACCCGATGATGAACATTTTCTGAGGGTATCGGAACGATAAAAACACTTTTAACTAACTTTAACATTTTCATTATTTGTTGATTTGTAGGTTCAAAGAAAAAGATTGGAAACTCGAAGAATCGGAAGCGGAAGACTTTTTAGGACAATTTAGGATTTTTCTTTAGACTTAGAAATCGAAAAGATGTATTTTACTTTCTATTGTAATTTGTAACAAAAATAAATATGAATAAAAATTCACATTATTTTTCTCCAATTAAAATTCTCCTGATTACTCTTTTCAACTAACTCGTCACAACCGAATGAATCACTTAAACCAAATTATCCGACTAAACCCAAACGATTAAGTGCCCCCAGATGAACTCGACCGATTAAAACTTAACCGATTAAACTCAACCGAATAGATTAAATCCACCAAATAAACTCGTACGCATAAATCCCATGAAAATTATCCGGATAAACGTTGCCATTCCGATTCCGGATTCGACGACTAAACATATTGCCCGATTGGAACCTGACGTAACTGGATTCCAGACAAATCCCTTTCCAAATTAAGTCGTGCCTGATAATAGAAATAGTAAATACGGCCTTGAACGAATAAAACAGATAAATCTGATTAACAACGAAACAAAATTATCCTTCGCATTGAAACATTCAATTCGCATCTCCCATGGATAAATTCGATGCCACGAACCAACTCGGCTGCAAATTAAGACTAAACAGATATAATAAATCCAAACGCGAGCTGAAATTTCCACCATTTCCCTTTAAGATTGACTGGCAGGTAGCTGAAAAAAACAGAGAAATAGGCGTCTGTTAAAATAACTTCCGCATAGTGAAATCTCGCATCGGTTTAAACCACACCAACTGACATTTCAACACCCTCAACCCCATGTGATTAAACAACGTCTCTGAAATCCTCTGATGACAAAATCTTGGCCCTTGAATAGATTATTGTGTCTCGAGAATCCTGACATTGAAATTGCTGTAAAAATCAAATTATCCTCAAATAAATCACAGGACTCGGAGATGGAAACCCTAATCACTTGAGGAATTCCTAAAGATAACTTAGCTCCATAAATTGTCAGCGGCTGCAAATAAATGACCATTTTACCCTTTCTCAGTTAAACTGCATATAATGTGATTTTCCTACAAAATCAAACAGACTACACAAACCCGTTAGTGGTTAGTTAAATGCAATGCAAAAATGCAATGGAATGCAAAATGAATAGACTAATCTAAGGGTAAAATTTGGGGTATTACAACCATCATTTGTTGAAGAGGGGATCCATTCTGGGGTCATTCCAAATCCCCAATGAAGCAAATCCATTATCATTACTAACCTGCATTAGTGTCATTGTTACCATAGGTTTTTTTCCCTTTATCCCTTGACTTTTTGTTCCCTGCAGTCCATTCATCGTCTTCCTTGTTTCCTTGGTCTTCATCCTCCCATTGGTTGTTTCTTTGTTAAACATTCACAGTATTGTCCTCTCCACTAGACTGACTCTGCATCTGTTGTTCTTCAATTGTGATTTGTTGATTTGATTTCTCTGTCTTTGGCTGCCATTGTTTCATCTTCCTCTCTTTATTACATTAGTGACCAGTCTTCTGGCATTTCTCGCAGAACTGTGGTTGGCTTCCACTCATATTCCACCCTTTGTTGAATTTTCCTACCTTCATTATCCTTAATAAGTATAATTTTGCAAAGTTTCTGAGTTACATCCACCTCAAGCATGATTTTAGCATAGGTAACTCTCAGCTTATTAGCCGTACATTTGTCCGTGAACAGAGGTTTTCCAATAGCATTTCCTATCTTACCAAGACTTACCAAGACTTTTAAACCCCCCCCCCCCCCAGAGGTGGAGGGGCAGTTGAGGAAGCTTGATCCAAATAGGAAGTACACTCATCATATCACGTTCCAGTGAGAAATCCGTCCTCCATTCCAATAGCACCATTGGTTTATTATGTATAGAATACGACCCCTTCATGAGCACTTCATCCCTCTCCTTCTCCGTTCTAAACTTCAGGATGAAGTATCATTTATTGTAAAACATCTCCGACGGCTTCACAAAATCACAGAACTTGATGAAGTTTTCCACAGCATTTATGCTCATATTTGCTCCAATAACATACATTATCAAGGAAAATTTTCAAAATCATACCTCCGTTTTCACATCTTCATCCTCAATTTCTACTTCAATATCTTCATCCTCAATTTCTACTTCGATTTCGCCATTTACGATCTTCGGAAGAACAAATTGATATACCCACTATTATCATACTTAAAAAATTAAAGTGCAAATAACCTTCGGAAAATTTTCTTTTCAATGTAATTTGCAATAATATAATGCTCATAATTTAATCACTAACTGTTCAATATTATCTTACAAGATTAAAAGGCACACAGTCACACACATCCTTGACCAAAAAGTCACAAAGAGGATTGACGAGTAGCTACAAATTTCTTAACACTATCAACCAAATCCCGCGCTTTAGAACGATCAAAGATTTCCACGGCATGATACCCATCCTCACAAAACCACGACACCACGTGCACCCCACGTGCCTTCAATATCCTCACCAACTCCTTTTGCTTATCCACCAACGGATCTCCACTATATCCATTAACAAAACACCTCGGCAGCCGTCCGATCTTCTCACCATATACGCTATTCGCAACCGTCGGATTGCAGTACACGTGGTCGCGATCTGCACCCTCCGGCAAACATAGGCGCCACATGAGATCACCCACAGGTAATGGCAATATACGATCGTTAACTAAACGAAGCTCAGATTCCGTTCTCTCGACCCCACTGAAAAATATAGAGTTTAATATCAGCCCTCGGATCTTAATCGGAGAGAGATCGAGGTCGAGTGCACGTAGACCTGCAAAGTAGGCAATGTTAGCTCCTGCACTGTTTCCCATCAAGAAGCAATTATCGAAGTCCACGTGGTTTCTAATCCACGGATCAGATTCATTTGGATTTTGCGCTTGGCATTTGAGCCAGAGAAGGGAATCGACGGCGTCGTCGTAGGCTGCGGGAAGACGATGCTCCGGCGAGAGACGGTAATCGACGGATGCGATAACGGCAGGTATTTGAGCAGAAAATTCGGAACATGAGTGGTGGAAGATCAGTGAGGAAGAGTGGTAGAGGATGAAACCGCCGCCGTGGAAGTAGAGAATGAGAGGGAGTTTTGCAGGTGGCGGAGGGTGGGGGATGAAGAGACGGATGGAGGTTTTTGTGGCGGCGTTTAAGGTAATGTCTTTAGAGAGAGATGGTTGCGGAGGCGAGTTGGTGGGATCGGAAGATGGTGGTACGGTGGGAACGATGGGGTTTCTTGTTAGGGAACCATCGGGGTTGAGTTTGATTTTGAGAATTTTGTATGGATCTATGGTGGAGTTTCGTTTGGAAGGTGATGGTTCTGTCATAGTGGTTGAAATATATTATGAGCGGGTGAAGGTTAGTTCAGATCCATTTATTATAGAATTGAAATGTTGTACGGTTAAAGGAGTAGTTTAGATACTTTCGGCTTTCATTCATGGATGTGATTTCTTAGCACATGGAAGTTAATGCAATTAAAATGCATTATTAAAAGTATAGTGAATTAAAAATGAACTATTCATTCATAAAAGTTAGTTTTGTCTGGTTTCAAATGGGAATTTATATTACAGGTAATTCAAGATAGAATAAATTCTCAAACCAATGCGATAGAGAGAACCCTATCATTCCCATCTTCTCTGGAGGATGGTAGAGGACCCTATCAATATATTAGCCGGGATTAACGTTGTATATTTTGAAAAATTAGTATTAGTTTGACCAATTGAACTATAAGATTGGAAGAAGTCTATTGTGCATAGGCATGACTAGATTAGTTTTTTTTAAAATTAATAATTATATTTTTGTTTAGATTTTTTAGAAATTTTAAAATAAAAAATCATTTATTAAATCAGTTTTATTCAATAAATATTATTTAGTAAATAAATAATCAATTTAGTTAATTTTTAATGAAATTATATTAATTTTTAATTTAATTTTAATTATTAATAATATTATATCATGATTGTGAAAAAAATCAACATTTCCTCTCTTCAAATATCAATATTATTATTAGCTTTTACTTACAGTGTTATTTTCCAACTACTTTTCCGCACAACATTTATAAAGTAGCTTTTGTTATTTCTCTCTCCAAAGTCTAATTAATTGATACACGCTTCTTTAAAATTAATAGGTACTTACTTCTATGCATAAATGTAAGCTTACACACTACATAACAATAAAAATATAATAATAAAAAATTTGATAATCAATGCACCTAATTTACAAGTACTATGAGAAAAATGGGAGGCCCAAGGAAAAGGCCTGGGTTCCCTTGCCTTTAAGCCGGGTTTAGAGATAACAACAGAACTGGTTTGGAGACGATTTTTATTTCTTTTAAATTTAAACTTGAATTTTTAAATAATTCTCGTTTCCTGTCCTAAACTCAAATGTAGATGGAGAATTAAAACTTAAATCCGTCTTAAATGAGTTTGGGTTGGGTTCGAGTATCTCCACCACCATCCTTTAAGTGAAATAAATTTTTTTAATAAAATTTTTTATTTTTTCTAATATAAAATTACATTACAAATAATAAAATAAAATAATCTCAAAGAATTTCATATTACAAATGTTTTAAATAATAAATACAAATCAAAATATCAAAATATTAGTCAAATACCCAATATTCTAAATTATCAAAATTAAATAATAATCTATATAATAAAGTGAACGGGTCAGGTTCGGGGTGGGTACTAGCGTCCCCATTATCCGACTCATCCCCATATTTTATAATCGGGAAAAACCCAAACCCAAACCTAATCAAAGAGGATTTTCTCCGTCAACTTTGGGGCGGATTTAAGTGGGTATGCGTTATATTGCCATGCCTAATTGTGCATTCCAAAAATTTCTTGAGGTCGAGTTAGTAAGAAGGTCGAGCTCGACAAAACAAACAGGTCGGCTGGTCATAATCATTCAGATAAGTCGGAGTCCAGTTAAAAATACTAAAATAAACACAAAGGGGTCGATCTTACTCATAGAAATCGAGACTAACCTCATTTGTACAAGCCGAGACCGATGTCAATGCTAGGATACCATCTAAAGAGGCGTAAGTGGTAGTTACAGAATGATCCATTATGGCATGAGAGTTACACTTATTAATGGGAGAGACATTATCAGACAATTATATGGGTGGCAGCCATCACCTAAGGTTGTATTTATGAAGGATCATGAAAGAGCAAACACGGAGGGGTGATGAGAGAATCGAGCCATATAAATATGAGACTGCTTGGAGATAGAAACCAACAAGTATATACATAACAGACACCTAAACTAGTCATTTTAGGCTTTCTTTGACTTATAACAAGAAAGTCAACCTTTTAATGATTTTTTAGCAAGAACATTTGGCATCCACCGTGGGGCCTCAGTAAGACTTACACAAGCCACACAAAACCATCAAAATCACTAACAACCTAGTTGTGCGATGTTCGGATCATCTCCTAGCTGAAGTGATCCACCTCTTCCACCAGATATAACTCAGTTGCTTGCTGTGGTGGAGGCTCTTTGTCAACAACATAAAATCTTGCAAGACAGTGTTCAGGTATGGCAAACACAAAGCCAACAGGAAAGGGACACAAAGAAGGAGCCTCTAATTCCTAAGCTTTGTCTGAAGCTATCTAGGATGATCAAGTCCTAGAGAACTTCAAACCATTAAAGCTGGTGTTTTTTAATAGTAAAACCGACCCACGAGAGTATATCATTGCGATCAATAGTCAGATGGCAATAGTAGGGGATTCTGACTCCCTTAAGTGTAAACTCATGGACGAAACTTTTAAAGAATAAGCGTTATAATAATATATGATTCTACCTAGGTTCTCGATCGTTAGCTATCAGGACTTAACCAAGAAGATTATACAACATTTTTCAGTAAGTAGGCATAGGAAATTATCGACTACCAGTTATTTAACGTCTGACAAGCGCACTCAGAATCTATCAAGGAATATCTAGAAAGATTCAATGAAGAAATAATTAAGATATCTCACCCGAATCAGGAAATGTTCATTGGAGCATTTCAGCGTGACTTCAAAGTTGGACAGTTCAATGAATCCTTAGCGCAAAAGCCGACATCCAACATAGATGAGGTTATTACCCGAGCGGAATGCTACATCAAATGAGAGGAAAGTAACATTGAAAAAAGATCTCAGGATGCCAAATAAAAAACGCGAGCTAAGGAATAAGGATTTAGGTATAAGAAGGAATACTCTAACCTCGAACCCAAAAACTGGCCATCAACGACATTTTAATTGACACAAATTAAGGTTTTCAAACATATGAGACTTCTAGCATCTTCAAGACTTCTTTAAGTTTGTATAAATTTAAAACTACGAGTCATCTTTTATTGCTATAGCCTAGTGATCTGGAGTGATCATAATTGATCATCTTGGCCTTCAATGTAGGGCAGTAACAGTGGTTGTAGGAAAGAAGGGGGTGTACCTGCAAGGTACTCTGATGCCAAAGTAAGTTTTTGGGCTAGAGAGAAAACAAGTACAAGTGTTTAGGTATGAGTGGGAATGATTAGAATACCTGACCCTCTTAAGAGTGAGGGTATTTATGAGATTCCCTCCAGCGCAGGGCCAAGGTCTCCCATGTGGCTGAAATATCTGGTCGACCAATGGGAGACTGCCAGGTGGAAGATCTAGCACGTAATCTTTGACCTGGTCCAACTTTCTCCATGAATTTCGAAGGGGAAGTTGGTCGCGTGAGCTGTCAAGCGCGTAAAAGGGATGTCCCCAACGAATATGTGCTCCAACGGCTATATCGTGTCCAACAGTTATATTGTGCCCAACGGTTATATTGTGTCCAATGGCTATATTATGTCCAACGGATATATTATGCCCAATCTCCTTATTGGGCCTGACCTTAGGCTAAACTGGATTGGGCTTTGCCCAATGATAGACCTAAAATATACTGTTTATTTGACTCGATTTGCGCACATTATTTAGGATTTTATTTCCACTTTCTTGTATTATGCCTTTGTTTTGTTTCTTTTTCAGGTTTTTGTATTTTTAAAGCTACTCGAGAAGAAATGAAGAAAAACGAGCTAAAAGACCAACATTCTGAGGAATTGTACACATGGCTTCCACCATGGCGGGCGCCATAGGGGATGCCACACATTGGATAGAAGACAACTGCTGACAACTGCCATGTCTCCCACTTCTGTCCACCCTAGTTCAAGTGGCGGGCGCCACAGGGAGGTGGTGGGCGCCACCTTCACAATCTCGTTTCCCTCCCAAAAGGAGTTGAGGGGAATTCTTGTCCTTACATGTACTTTCCCACCATTATAAATATAGGGGTTCTGTTTCATTTCTAATCATCCAAGCTTAGTTACAGAACTCAAGCCATACATTTTACCTATTGTAAAGTGATAAACTTCTCACATCAAGGGGTTATCACACTGTTTAATCGAGTCTGTAATCGGGTTTGGAGCACTTGGATAGAAGTTAATCCTGCCGCCATTTTATTTCTGTCATTTACTTCCAGTTGTACCAAGATTTAAAGCCTCTTGTTTAGAACATGTTTCTGTTTATTTATCGCTCTTTTATTTATTCGCTGTTATTTCTTGCACCGCTTTTATTTCTCGCACCGTTTATTTATCGCACCCTTTACCGCACTTTATTTACTCGCATTTATTTACCATGTCTATTTACTTTACCATGTCCGGCTAAATCTTAAAAGCTAGGATGCAAGGATTATAGTTATAATAGTATTCCATGCGGCTGTTGATAGAATTACTTAGGGGTTATTTTGACTTTTAACACTTATTTTATGTACTTAAAATTTGTTGGGTAAGATCGAAAGCCGTCCAACCTTTAGATAAATTTGGTCAGTTTTAACTGTTCAAAGGAAGCAAAAGCGTTTGGCTCAGTTAATTAGGAATCTTTAATTTTTAAGAAAACCGATTTTAAAACTGTTTTCGGACGCGTTTATGGATTTAAGGTCCGGTTTGCAAGAACCTTATTTTGTTAGAAATTCCAGGTCAAAATATTTTTCAACTAAGTTAAGAAACTATATTTCTTAAAAATAGGTTTATTAATCCTAACACAATACGCGCCTTTTTATAAGTGACAATAAGAGGGATCGATTAGGGATAAACTCGGTTCTGAATACGCGAAAGCGACATTTCCCGTTAAATTAGTTCTTTTCATGAGTAGAAAACATTACCCCATAAGGCATTCTACTTATACACATTTGGAATACTACGTAGCTATGTGAATTGCATCTATGCCTATTATTTTATTATTGAATTTATTTCCGCACTTTACTTTTATTTCGCTCAACTAAACCTTTTATTTGACTTGCCTTAGATAAACATCGTAACACTAATGAGCAGTTGATT